AGTGGCACTGTGCCTGCCTCACAAGTACAAGGACCTGAGTTCAATCCCAGAAACCAAAAAACAAACAAACAAACAACACTCCCAAGTCTTTGAGTTATTTTGAAGGCAGGTGGGATTCTCATTTCATTTCAAGTGCAATATGCATGTTAAGAAATTAAGGTTAATCAGTAATAAACTTACAATATGTAATTGCCAAAAAGGAGAAACAAAGATGTCAGAATGTGAAGAGAAGGCAGGGAAGCAAAAAATAGAAAAGTAAGTTAAGCAGTGGACAGAAAAAAGTAATGTAGAAGAAATAAAAACAAATACATCAGTAATAATACATACAAGGAGTAAGCTCTTCAGTGGAGACTACCTAAAACTGGACTGAAAAAGAAAACACAGTGCAGTTACATGCTATTTAACAGACACAGCTAAAATATTATACAGAAAGACAAGAAGAGGGACATAGAACCAAAACTTTACCAATTATCAATCAAACCAAACAGAATGAACTTTAAAGGAAAGATCATAATTGATGGTACAAATACTTCACTAATGAGACAATGAATTTGAAAGTCCCTAACAATATAGTTTAAGAAGAAGTAGTGACAGAAGCCACAATCATAATGCAGGATTTTTTTGTTTTGGATGTTTTGTTTTGTTTTGTTTTTTTGGTACCAGGGATCGAACTCAGATTTTTTAGCTTGCGAGGCAGGCAGTGGAACCATGGAGCTAAATCACCAGCCCCATAATGCAGGATTTTAAGGCGTCATCCTCAGAAACTGATGAATAAAGCAGATAAAACAGTCCTAACAACATAAGATTGTTTTAATATTCATAAAATTTACTATTTGAATGTATTTGCAGGCTTGTCCTGACCTTGCACCTAACAACTACAGAAGATACATACTTTAAAGTACACACAAAACCAACAGTTTGCACACAGGGCACAAAGCAAGCCTCTGCAAACAAAGAATCGTATCATACAAATCAAGTTTTTGTTTTTTTTTTAAAAAAGCCCAGAAATCCACATTTTGTGAAACTTTAAGAATTAATTTACAATGTATGTTTCAATACATAAATCCTATTGAAAATCACCAAATGTCTGGAACTGAAAGAAAATGAAAATTGCAAATCAAACTCAAATGTGGCTAAAGGAATAATTAGATGGGAATTTACAGTCCTCTATGAAAACATTAGAAAAGACGATTTAAAATATTAATGGGCTTAAGAATCCATAAGAGAAAAATCTCAAGGAAAATGGAAGTGAAGAGCAAAAAGGAAAGAAATAAAAAAACGAGGACTAAACTGAAAGGCTATTTTTTGTTTTGTTTTGTTTTGTTTTGTTTTTTGGGGGGGTATCAGGGATTGAACTCGGGTCCTTGTGCGCTTGCAAGGCAGGCCACCAAAATGCTGAGCTAAATCCCTGGCGAAATGCTAGTTTTTTGAAAAGACACAAAATAGACAAATCTCTAGCATGAATTTAAAAAAAGAGAGAAAAAATATCAGGAATGAGAAAGGGAACAAATATGACATTACGATTTCCCAAGTAAGACATTACTATGACAACTTTATAAATTTGATAGCAGAAGAAATAGACAATGTTCTGAAAAATTGTTGTACTGAAAAGTACAGCACAGAGGACAACTGCTATGGTTGACTAGGACTGAAGTTATCAGGAACAATTTTACAAAAAAGAGGGCCTTTGAAGATAGGAGACCTTGGGGGAAGGCATACACAAAACTGAAAATGAGAGTGATATCTCAAGGAAATAGGGCAGATATGTAGTAGAAGAGAAAAAGGTAATCTGAAGCCAGATTTAAGTACAAAGGTTCCCCCACCACCCCCTCAACTGTATGTTAGAATCATCTGGGAAGTTTAAAAAAAAGCCTCAGTAGCCAGACCAAATTTAACAAGTCAGTCTTGGGAAGGGTAGGGGAAAGGAAATAAGGGAAAAGAAAAAAAAATGAGAAATTAAAAAATGGAAATAAAGTTTTTGTAAATAGGGTAGGGAGGAGGGGATGAAGGGAGGGCAGGGGTATGGGGAAAAAATGAGAACCAAGACCTGTCATATACAGGTACAAGATCCCAATGATGAATGTAACTGTACTGTATACCTAAAATGTACCAATAAGCTCAATGAGAAAAACAAAAACAAACAAACAAACACAAATCAGTCTCTGGGCTGAGCTACAATTATAATCTCAAGTATCTATTCATTTTAACTTTCATTCAGAGGCTTATAACACTTGACAATGAAATGTGTGTAATGATTAAAAATTAAGCTTTTGTGTATTTTCTGCTACTTTAATATTAATGTTCCTTAGACTAGCCTAACATTTTTAATGATATGCTTCAATTACTTCCTCCTCTCAAGTCATTGTGTACTTAGGAAATATAAAGTAACTGAAAAGAAAGCACATCCAAAAGAAAAGGCAGTGCTCCTTCTAAAATCAATCAATACTATGGAATCAAACATTGCTAAGAAGAAAGGCCTTGTGATATTTTAGAACCTCTGTGTCATTGCTTTAACCTGTTCTCAGAAGTATAGTTAATCAAGAACTGACTGTTCTCGAGATGCAAGCATAGGGGAGGAGAAAATACTTGCAGTGCATAAATCCAAGAAAGATCCTGTATCTAGAATATATAAAAAATTCTTTCAAATCAATAAAGACACCTGTTTTTTAGAAAACAGATGACTGAAACATCTTACAAGAGCTTATTAAAACGGCCAATGAAAAAATAAAACTGTTCAATATCATTACATAGTTATAAGCAGAAGGCAAATTAAAACACAATACCATAAAACACCCATAGAATAGGTAAAATAAAACAGATTGAGAATAGCAACCTTTGGTGAGGAGATGGAACCACTAGAACACTTTTACATTGCTATGGGAGTATAAGTTAGTATAAATACTTTGGAAAAATGTTAAGCAGTGCTTTCTAAAGCCAAACATGTGCTTATGTACAACAAAAAAGCATATCCCACAATGCTCACTACAGCTCTATGCATAGTAGTCCAAACCTGAAAATAATACAAATGTTCAGCAATAGAATGGGTAAATTGTGCTATAGTTGTAGAATCTTACATGACAACGAAGATGAGACTAGGCTTATGTTCATCACGTGACTCTTGCAAACAGAAGAAGGTCCACGAAACAGTACATAAGTATGATTCTGTGTATATGAAGCTCAATCATAGGTGAAATAAATCTATGATAATACAGTGAAGAGACACGGCACTTCCCAAGGAGAACAGTGTAGGGAGTGTCTGGTCTGTGCTTGCTGACCTAAAGGGGGCACGAGTAAAACTTCAGGGGTGCTGAAAATTTTCTGAAACATATCTAGGCTGTTGCTATGCTGGCTTCTACATAAAAAACATTCAAGCTGTACATTTAATATTTTGTGCATGTTGCCATGTGTAAATGTTGTACTTCAATAAGAAAAAAAGTATTGCAATTTATGTCTTTTTAATTTCATTTGAAAGAGAAACGTATACTATACACAAGTCACTCAGAGTTGAAACATGACTATGTTAGTTTCCAAGTAAAATCAACCTTGTTTCAAATGTTTCACATTAAAGGTACATAATGCAGAGATCTGAATTTAATTTAGGAAGTGTATAGATTTCTTACCAAACTACACGGATAAATGCATAGTTTGCAGAAAGGTGAAGCATGGGTTGGCTTCTATTTAGGATTTTACAGAAAAACCTTACTTCAACATATAATGGAAATTTTTAAATGAAACACAGAACAATTTTGAGCTACATGTTTCCATAGAAGAGCTCCCTTGATTCTCTCAAAATGCTGACCTTTTGAAGAGGGAACATCTGAAGGTTTCAGCAGTGCCCTGTCAAAAGCCTTGTGGGATTTGCCTGATGCAGTCAGAGTTTAGGCTAGTAAATGCATATACTGTAGTTAGAAAGCCATCTCTACCCTAATTACAGGTTGTTCTGCAGAAAAGAGGTGGCTTTTTAGAGTCACTCATTTTGGAACAGATCAATCTATGCTTTTACTGGGTTTTTGATGACTCATCAAGAAGGAAAAACTTGATTGTAGATAATATATTTTACTGCACCCATGGTTAAAACACTCTAAATCAAGTGTACAAATTAGGGCATTGGGACAACTGAATTGTTCTTTAAATTGCATTTATTCAATCCAACCTACAAAAGAAAAAAAAGAGAAGAATATACACTTACTAGAAATGATGAAAGAAGGAATAGATGCTTATTTTCTTTTTAAATGAAATCCAGACTTTAAAAGAAACTCATCTGGAATCTTTGTATTTATTTCATGGATTTCAGAGGTCTGAAATATATGGAGGTTTTATTTCTGTAGCCAACAATGTATCCTACTCATAATAAATGATATTGGTTTCTGAAATGACCATAACAAAATTCTAACCCTTTGGGTTTTAGGCCACCTGCACTGTGTAGATTTGTGTCTTTGCATAAAGTGGGCCACCTTCAGTTACCTGACAAGCAGGATGGCATAGAAATATGTTTCAGAACTGTCATAGCAACCAAAGGACAGAAGCACAAGACACCCATTTGTAATTGCTCTATTTATTAATACATATATCACAAATGTTCACAATATCAATGCATTCTTGTTGGCATGCTAGACAGAGGAATTAATTTTAAAGATCTTTTAAAAATATTTTGACTTTTGCTCCCCCTTTGCACTCAGTTTTAAATTGATCTGATGAGGTCCTGGAAGTCTGTAATGTCAATGCAAGAACAAAATACAGAAAGAAGTAAAATAATATCATAGCAATTAATTGGGAAAAAACAAAGATAATCTCATTGCCTTCACAGGAAGCAACAGCACAGCTTTGTAATGGGATTATACAGGTTTCAACTGAGAGGCAAAGGGGCACTAAACTGTCTCTACACACCCAGGTACAGAACAATGATGAGCAAAGAGGCCATCTAATGCTCAACAATTTCCATCATGCGTGACACATTCTTTTTTTCTCCTTGTGAACAATTACTGATGTGTCTCTTTACATGTCCTAGGCAGCCTAAAGAAGGTAGGAAAGAGCCTTAATAAAGGGAAAACCAAACCAAACAAGATTAAGCCAAACGAACAGATAACTATCATCTGCTTATCTATGTTACGGTGTATGGCATTTATTGACCACAGTCAGGGGGTAACAGGCGTCTCCCACATTACATGCAGGCCCCAGGGGGCCAGTGATGGTGTGATAACCAGTCACCTACAGTGAGCTGCAGTTGGACCAAGTACACTGGAGGAGCTGGCACGCACAGGGCTTCAGGGTAGGGTTCACTAGGACTAGCTGCAGGGGGACCTGATTATACTCTGTGGCACAACAGGGCTTCACAAGATAGACACTATAGGTGATTCGGTCTGAAAGGTGGAGAAGAGACTAAGTAGGGGGGTCAGTTGCACGCAGGGTTGGGGAAGTGGGAACAGGGGGCAGGTGTATTATGTACTGTGCTCTAACATTGTTTGGAAGTCTTTCAGAGATTGCTGTAGTTCATTTTTAACACAGGTCTCTTCTTCCAACGTTCTTGAAAGACTGAGAGAGAAATTAAAACACGAGTGATTCACCATTTAGAAGAACTTAAAAAAATAAAGGTAAGAAGCTGAAAGGAACATTTGCATGTTTTCCACAATAGCATGCATCAAAACTCCTCCCCAGCACCATGAGAATGAGAATTTTATATGTGGACAAGTGCCACCAAGATTAGGTAGCTAAAGTGGTCAGGCAGTCCTCCTGACCACTGAATTGAAGTATGGGTACCCTTTTGAAACACTCAAAATTAAACATTCCCCATTACCACTTACCTTCTCCTTACACCATCTCATACTGATTGGCTGTGATGAACCGGGACAGACAGCAGGCCAGCAGCATGCCAATCAACTGTTGCCAAGGAGACAAATAAGACAAGAATCTCAAGTTGCTGAACTATACCCCTTTTTTCACTCTAGATTTAAATCTTTATTTCAAATTGATACATAATAATTGCATATATTTCTAGACCATGACCTGAAACTCTGATATAAGTATATACCTAGATGTAATTTTTACCACATGTGACTGGGAAAGATTGCTAGAGAAGAACCACCAGATTTCAATGAGGGATCCAAGTTAGAGGAGGTCTAACTGCTGGCACAGGACCAGTTGGAAGTTCTGGAACTGGCCATAAGGTTCCAGTTGTAGCTCACTCTGACCATTTAAGAACAACATTTGATACTAAGTAGTATTAAAATGTGTTCATATTATGAGAATAATGAAAAAATAAGTGACCTGGAATTAGTGAGATATTAACTAAAAGGCCAAAATTTAACTCAAAGCCATTAAGTACATGCATTTGGAAGATGTCTCAATATAGTATGATTTTCTAGCTGTACTTAGCTGACAGATAATAGTTCTTTCCTTGAGGCAAGAATAGGGACATTATTCTTGATCAGATATATTTTCCAGTGAGAAAAGAAAGTCATAGCTTGATAGGAGGCGAAAGTGAAGACTTAAATTCTCTTTGTGTCTCAGTTGTATAACTAACTATCTTAGGCCCAAGTGTGTGCATCTCTACCCAGGGCCCACCTTCTAATTTTTCAGGGGGTGGCAGAAAAACCAATCACAGAAAACCTCCACCTCCTCAGAAGGCTCGGTCCTCCATTTGTTTTTGTGCTCTGACCTGACCTGTGGCACAGGCAAATCTGATAAAAATGGTTTGGACAGGATACAATCAAGATTACCTTAAGCATATCTTGCTCTGCTCATTAGAAACCCAAATTTCCAGACAGGAATCTGGAGGATCAACATTCTTTGGATAGGAACTCAAAAGTGTACTTGAGCCTAGATGCCACTTTCCCTTAGCCGGTGTAGTCCCTTATCTTTAAGCAACTCCACAGGTTTTAATGGATCAGAAGTGAAATCACCTTTAGAGATAGCCTGGTACAGTTTCACTTCACATGTGGTTACAGGACTCAAACCATTAGGATCACCTAGGACCTTGTTAGAAATGCACATGCTCAGGCCCCGCCCTAGATTTGCTAAATCAGAAATGTGTTTTAATAAAGTCTGCAGGGGAAGGAACTCCACCTGGTCACCCTTGTCTTATAGGCAAAACATGTGAAGTCATTCCAGTTCACATTGTTTGAAAGGGTAACCCCTGTACTCTGTTCTCCTGGCTGTTAATACATCAGTGAGGAGTCAGTCCTGATTCTTATATTTTTAAAAAATAAAACTGTGTCGTGAAATATGCAAAATATAAACTCTGTGAGGGAAGGCAAACTCATTACCTCATTGCACTCACCCTATCACCTGCCACGGCCCTGGCCAATGTCATTTCATGCCACAAAAAACTTAGTATCATCATGTACTTAGTGCAAAGTGACCAAAGGTATCATAGCTGTAACCTTCAGATTTTTCTATCCAATGAAAAATTAAAATCTTCCCAGGAATTTGAATTGTATTCTTAGTCATATCAAAAAATTAGACTCTAGCCAAAAGCACAAGTATTGAAGATACTTAACACATTCAAGTGTAACAAATTGTTGGCTATTGCAAACCCGTACAACACTATAATCCCATTTTATAAGAGAATGGGTTTCTGCCCCAAATGACACCAGTCATCCACCCTTTCTATCTGAGAATAGGTCCAGTTTTGTCCCACTACATAGAAAAGGTAGATAGGTGTTTTTAAGGACCCAAAAAAGAACTAACTACCAGCACATAATAAATCAGCCCAGCAGACTGGGGACCCTGGGTCAGACATGGGACCGATTCGTGAGAGTAGGATCTGTATTTTTGATAAGAACATTTTTCCTTGATAATTAATGGACTTAAACCTTTTTTAAAAAAAATAAAAGCATAAAATTAATTCCTTTCAGGTGCTATCTGAAGCAAGAACAAAAGTGACTTTGGATCTTAACATTTAAGTCAGCAAAACAGGTGAGAAGGAGGAAGTCAGTACTGTAATCCTGGACATGCAATCATTGCCCAACCTCATGCAAGGCCCTCAACTCTCACTTGTTCTGGAAAACAGCTCTACAGTCTCCACTGAGGACTGTAACCTAGTAGGTTTCAAGTCTAACAAAGCCCTAGGTCTATTTACCTTGGGTAGAGAAGTATTTACTACAGAGGACGCCCTGTACCCTCACACAGCTAAACCAAGGCATGACGCAGCATCACAAATTGAGTAATACCACATTTGGGCTCACAAAGCGCTTGGCTTGTAGGCCGTTTAGGGGGCCGGGAGAGAGGTTGGGGAGGTGCACTGTACATACGTGTATGGATATTCTCTCCCTCCCTCCCTCCCTCTCTCCCTCTCTCTCTCCTCCCTCTCCCTCTCCCTTTCTCTTTCTCCCTGCCTTCTTTCCCCAAAGCCCAGTTCAATGAAAGAGTAGCTGCCAAAGGAACAGGAAAGAACTACCCTACCCAAACACATTCAACCTCCTGCCATAAATTTCTAGGGCAGTACGACCTGCCCACCCAGATAAATGGGCTTTTCCCTGAGGGAGCAAAGACAAGGGAATTGTGAGGAGAGAAGCATTAAAGATGAGACCAAATCCTGTTGTCCAAACAAGGCCTCTGAGCTAGCCGAGCGAGCCAACAGGGGACAAAGTTCTTGTACAATCTATTCAAAGGCTGCACTCAGCTTCATTTTCCTTGCACATTATCCTACCTTTAATCTCGGAGACCACAGATAGAAAAGGCCAATTTCTTCCAACAGCTGGTAACATGAAAGTCACAAGAGCAGGCAAGGAAATGGGTTAGGAGAAGGTGGAGGGCTGATGAGAGAAAGCAAAAGGGAGACAGAAAGCTCTGTTCTTTTCTACCCACTTTCATATCTACTCAGTAAAGCCTGCTCATTACAAGGAGAGCCAAGTCACAATAGTTTCATCAATATTAGCCGACCATTGTGAGGTTTTCTACAACATTGGCTCTAAAATTTCTGAACAAATGTACCTGAAGCTTTGTTTCTGCATCACTGACCAGTATCAGTAGGTTGCTTCTTCTTGAACAGGAAGGAAGCTCTGAAGTGGCTGCTACTATCCCAAGGAGGCCATGGATCATCTACTGGCCTAGAAACCAACTTCAGAGTCCCCAAGGCTGCTGGCACTTGAAACAGCTGCACTTGTCTAGTAAAAGCCAGCCATAACCATTCTTCTCCCTTCCCCAAGATGAGCACCACAGGTCTCTAGTTTCTGTTCTGCTAGACCTACCTAACCACGTGGGTGACTAGGATTGGCTGTGTGATATTACTGGGCTTTATGTTTTCTTTTTACAGTGATGAGACCTAAACTTACTGCAGAATGTTTCTGTTGGGAGGTTCTTTGGGACGAAAGGTCCTTGCTTACTGCTTCCATGTGTCAGAAAGCATATTCAACAATTCCCACATCAGGGATTTCTTTAAGGCAGCACAGAAAAGATTAATACTCATCAGGCCAGCTAGCCATTTATCTAAGCATGAATTCCTTCATAGGATGTGTGAGAGGAGTGGAGGAGAGGCATTAAGCAGCTTCTTTATGACGTGGAGGAGGATCCATCTGACTTGGTTCATCTCACTAATGAAAACAAGATCCTGCTTCCCACCACTTACACACTCATGGACAGCCAGGAATGTTCTTCGAAATTAGATGCTTCATCTATGAGACCCCAGGTTCACTGAAGCATTCTTTTCCTCTTATCTAGTATTGCTATCACATCCTTTTATTTTTCCAGGATAACCAAGAGAGGAGACTTTAGCAATACTTTTTTCCTCCAAGGAAACTCCTCCTCAAATGTCAAACGCAGACACATCGATCCCCTGTACCACACACACACACACACACACACACACACACACACACAAATGTAGACACAGTAGGTCCACTGTTGTAGTGCTCACAACATGAGGCTACACATACATGCATTAGCAAAAGTATGTGTGCAAGATGTCAAGTGCATCCTGGACATTTGCATCAGTTACAAAGCTCAGGAACCTCTAATGTGTCCGCAGCCATTATAGACACATTACTGAGTGTTATTACTGATATATTAGAGTAGCCGGGAGAAAGTACAGGAGCGGTGAGTACCTTTGAAATGTCTCTAGAGACTGAATTAGCTGTACTGTTTGTTATCCCACTCTAGTTTGCCTTGTGTTGGCCATGTAGGGGGTTTAATTCATTTCATGAGCCTCAAAAACAATGAGGCAAAGTAAAAGAGAATTTTGAAATTGCAACAAAAAACATTCATTGTTACTAAGGCCACATGCTCTTGTGGGATGAACAACCACACAGATTTTCACACTGTTTAGGAAGAAAAGTGTTTCTACTTCTCTAAAGCTGAGCTCTCTGCTTTGCTAAGGCTAAGGTTCTACTCCTTGATCTAAGTGAGGGCCACACAGTTCTGTTCATTTTGTGAGAACTTATTAAAGTATTAATTTATAATTTATACACTTTTCTGTATATTCCATATTTCAGTAAAAACAACTCTTATATACAAACTCACAGAATTAAAGTACATCTGCATTGTTAGCAGAAGGGACAGAGGTACAGATGGGTAGGTAAATTTTGAGAGTTTGAGAAAGCTTATAGAGAAAGCAGAGCTCTGGAAACATTACAGAAAAAAAGATAATTTAGGATTTGTTTGTTTGAAAAATGAGCTGTTCATCTGAGTTAGAGCTTTTATTTGGTTGCTTGGTATCCATGTCAATCCTTTGCAATATTATCGCAGGGATGTACCAGTCAGCTGGGGAAGCAGAGGCACATGGAGCAGTACACTGCCTGATAAAAGTAGGTAAATTTTAGATATGATTTAATCTTGTTCCATCCTTATGTGTGTGGCTTTCTTAATTAACATAATAATTATTTTTTAGAAACTAGGTGGAGATAGAGGGCTATAAAGTATAATACATGAGAATTGGGTTTCCACTTAAGAAACAGTCAAATCCAGAGACTAAAATAATGATCACGAGATGAAGTTTGCTGAAAATACAGGTTTTCTTTAAAAGGAGTGGTGTCATGAATAATCTACAGGAACTAAGACCAAAAAAGGACAGGTCAACCCACAAAAATGCCTCTCCCAAATCCACATCAGCCATTCGATGTTTTGAGTTGTTTATGCTCCAATTAAGCCGGAACCTTGTACAGTTAACCTCCATTTGACCTACAGAAGAAGCAAGTTGTTTTTCTGGAGCTAGTCATTAGTTGAACTGTAACCGATATTCCCTTGATGGCAAAACTTCATTTAAGTTGAAAAAGGAAAATCAATAAGCAGATGACCTGAGGACTAATGAGCAAGGAGCTCTGACCCCATCCATCAGCCTTCCCCAAAGCACAGGAGGGCAGGCCAAGAAGCTGGAGATGGGAGAAAGGCCAGACCAGGCTATGCACAATGATGTAGGCTACCTGGGAGAAGGCGATTCCAAATGCCACTCCAGCGATGATCCCCATGTTTGTCTCCATGAAACTGGTCACCAGATCATAACAACCCTGGAAACAGAGAGATGAGGTCTTGGAGTTATTTCTTAGCCAGGTCAGGCCTGCTACATTTGCTTGCAACTCTCACATATCCTCCAACCTTAATTCAGCAAATATAATTGCAACTCATCCTAGGAACGTACTAGCATTCTATTCAAACAAACAGACCAAAACTAACAAAAAAGACAAACATACAAAAAAGCATAGGGAGCAGTACAGTGAACCCACACATGACACTTCCTTTGACAGCATAATTAATATATGGTCAATCTTGTTTTATTTAAATCTCCCCAAAACCCATTTCATTCCCTGGCTAACTACTTTAAAGCAAATCCCAGACTTAATTTATCAACAAATATCTTAGTAGTAGGATTAAATTTAGCAAGAAATCTGTAAGATCTATGAAGCAAACATTGTAGAGATAAGAGAAGTAGACATGAACATATGAAAAGACATAAACTTGAACAGGAAACGTCAGCATCATAAATGTAGTTATTAGCATTTTCATGATGAGTGACATCTTGGAAAAACAGAAAAATCATCTGGCTCGAGGGAGATGTTTGAATATCTGCCAACATTATGGAGTTTTGGGGTTTATTACTAAGGTGACAATTACAATTTTTTTCAAGTACTGAAACCCTATGCTCGAGAGATAATTTTTCCAAAAACTAACTATCTGACCTTGAACGAGTCACTGACCCTTTCTAGATGTCAATAACTTTATACATAAAATGTGGATTTCCATAAAGGTGGATTTCCCTTTAACATATTACAAAATCTTTATAAGTCATGATTAAAACTGTTAATTATCAATTTCAATTTTAGTTTAAAATTGATGAAGTGTATTACCTTTCTTTAAGATGAATGATCTGGTTGGGGTTCAACAGTATCATTAAACAAGTTTATGTTCTGATTGCTACTCTAGATTATATTTTATCAACCTGGTCCAGATAGAAAACACCAGATACTGTGCATCACCCAGAAAGCAATGGCAAAAGCTGACTATTCCTGTTAAACTCCTTTTAGGTCAAATGGTAGAAGTAGGAATTTGTGAATGCAGATGAATGATCTGGTTGGGGTTCAACAGTATCATTAAACAAGTTTATGTTCTGATTGCTACTCTAGATTATATTTTATCAACCTGGTCGAGATAGAAAACACCAGATACTGTGCATCACCCAGAAAGCAATGGCAAAAGCTGACTATTCCTGTTAAACTCCTTTTAGGTCAAATGGTAGAAGTAGGAATTTGTGAATGCTCATAAGTATGTAAGTGTGTGTGTGTGTGTGTGTGTGTGTGTGTGTGTGTGTGTGTGCGCGCGCGTGCATGCATGGGAGCATTTATTTCGAATCAGCCAAATCAACCTAGAGTTCTGGACTGACTTATTCAGCTAGAAGATATGGTCTTTTTCCAGCTTTCTGATAAAGGGCTTTGACTTCAATAAAGTGTGTGCAAATGAACATATTAATTCAATAAATAGATAAAATGTTTCTTATTTATGAAGAAAATTACACCAAGTTGTAATAACATCTGAAGAGTAGCAATAACAAATATCCCACTATGGCTCCCATTTTTAAATTCGAATCTTAACAATATAGCATTTCTCATAGCTTGTGAAAATTCTACCAATGCCATATCTTCTAAATGATATTTTATATTCATAGTCTGTTTGCAGAGAAAAGGTACATTAGCTGAGCAGCAGTGCTCTGACACACGCCTTCAATGCAATTCACAAACTGCTCCTTAGTTATCTGATGCAAATATAGAGGGAAGAAAGCACATTACTGTTTGAAAAGAGTTGTGAAATTTGATTCTCTCTACTAGGAGCTTGCTGATTTCACTTTTACTAGTGAAATGGAGACATCAGCCTACTTTTCCAAATGGGAGAGAGGAGTTTTTGTTAGGAAGAGGCTGAAGCAGGAAGAGAAGTGGATAGTCCTACACTTTCTCAAATGATAGCAGCTAAAATAGCATTTTGCCAAGGTGGCCATGATTATTGTATCTTCTCCCCCAGCGATGGCAGGAGGAAGAATAAGGTCGAGCCAGCCACACAGTGAGGACAGCTCAAAACATGGAAACACAAACCTGATACCATCCAGAAATTACTCATATTAGCAGTTTTCTTACTCTGCAAAATGCGTTGACATAGACCCTCCTCCCTATAGTTTATGTATTTGATTCTCTACATAAGCTGAGTATTTTTCTAAAGTATGATTTCTACCCCATTTTCAGAAATTTTTTTGTTTGCTTTTGGTGGTGCTGGGGAAGGAACACAGGGTCTTGTGCCTACCAGGCAAGCGCTCTATGAGCTATATTCCTAACCCCATTTTTGGAGCCACTGTAGTTTTGATAAGGCCACTCTAACCAAGAGGAGGAATCAGAAAAATGAAATAACTACCTTGCATTAGTACAGCAGTAGCAAACTGTTCTCTGTAAACCTCACCCCTCAATGTACGGTTCTTAAGTAAACAGTACTGTATCACTGGGGGCTTGTGAGAGGCCGGACCTGCGGAATCAGCACCTGCCACATCCTGGGGTTATTCATATTTAACACATTTTAATGAATTTAAACAAGATCTCCAGATGCTTCACATTGTCATTAAAGTTTGAAGAGAATCCGTCCATAAGAAAATTTCCTATTTTTTTTACTCCAAATAGGAAAGCAAATTTATGCATCAGTAATAGGATTAAACAAAATGAGAAGATGAAAGTGAAATCAAAGTAAGTGTATTCCATCTCTGGATTTTTTTTCTCTGTTATTCACTACATGGACCCAAGGCCCATTTTCCTTGGACCCAGAGCCCATTTTTCAAGTCATAGCATTGTTCTGCAGACTGCAAGGACTGCTTTGAAGCTACATCCACAGGCCATGTTCCCTTTCAACCTTAAGTTCTACACTAAAGAGTGATCTTATCTGCCCATAACAATCTCTCTCAATTTCCTAATATGAAAGCCTTGTTGTCAGGCATGAGATAAATCTACAGAGACCTGCTAAGTCTCCTAGGAAACGCCCAGAAACAGAACAGTTAATTTGCTCACCCTCTCAGCATGTCTAAATCAACACAGTCACCCATGGAAACCATCTGCAGGGGCAGGCTTTAACTATTAAGAGGAAAAGGCTAGTTCGAATCAGGTTCTGGAAAAGGTCTCTCTCTATAGCTGCTAATCAGAATAACTCTTTCCTCCCCTTGCTCTTACAAACTGGGAAGGAATGCCTATGGATAAGGGTTCAGCCAGTGCTATCAGTCCATTGAACATGCAAACGTGCTATCATCCTGCTAGCAAAACCAAAATAAAGCCTTAAATCAAAGGACAAATAATTGTATTCATACCTCCTCCCTCCTGCAACTGCCCCCCATAATCTACATAACATAGGTTTCCTTGGGCTCCAATCAGAGTGTAGGATTCAAAAACCAAAAGATCTATAGGGATGTTACAACTAGAGTGTAAAGGTAGTTAAGCTGTCCTGGGGGAAAGAAATGAGTGGGGGGAGTGCTGACACTTACGAACACCTGCTATTACTGTTTCCACTCCATCCCCATCTCCCACTGTTTATAGACAAGATATCCATGAAATAATTTGTCTCAAAGGTTCATGTGGGTATTAAATGAGAATGTCTAATGAAAATCAGTAGAAAATTTCATTTTCCATTCATTTGCACTCCACTGAAGGAGACAGATTGAAGGGTATAATGGGAGAGAGAGAGAGAGAGAGACAGAGAGACAGAGAGACAGAGAGACAGAGAATAGTTAAACATACTTTTCAAGTATTTGAGGGGCCCGCGGAAATACAAAATAGGATTGTATGGGTAAAGTGGAGCATGAGATCGGTATGCAGGTTGTCAATGAAATGAAAAAAAGCTTCCTATCTTTCTCTCTAGAATAATTGCAAGGATTATAGACACATTATAGGATGTGCTCCCAAACTTTCTTGTAGATTCTAACAAAAGATCTCTCCCACAAGAACCTGCTGCATCATTTCTCATAAAAGTGACAGCATGATATAGTGGAAGACAAACTTTACCACCATCATGCTCACATTTACATTGCAGTTAACGTTTATCATCACAGCCAATATTTATAGTATCATTACTCTGTTTGACTAGGTACTGGGTACCTAAGGTTTTAGGTAGGTTATTTGATTCAATCCACATATCAATTCTAAGGGGCACCAGCTATTATATTCCCATTTCACAGATGAGAAAAGCAAGACCGAGACAGGTCAAGTAACTTGACCAACATCACAAAACCAGCAAGTGGGTGAACCAGAATTTGAACTGGAGTTTCACTGTAGCCACTGCTCCTGACTTCTAGACATTCGCAAAATCAAATGAAGCTTGGGGATAATAAAACTTTTGCAAAAGTTGCTGAGTGCCGCATTTACAGATGAGACTCAGAAGCCAATATTATCGTGCTGCCAAAGATCACTTCTTGTACTCCATAAACTGAAATGTCCACCAAGTGCCAGGTATGTGTGGCAGTGCATCAAATGTCACCCCAATGACACAGACAGGTGCTCAATGGGGATGTGCATGAAAAAGAAGTCGTCTTACAACTAGTGAGAGGTGAAGAAAACTTCAAAGTTTAGGTTCGTAAGAAAATCCTAATAGGAACAGATGTTCTCTGACTAAAACAGGAAGCTGTCAGTACTGAAGCTTACTGAACCATACTAGTAGCGAAGTAATAAACCTTGAATGACAAAATGAGCTTCCAGCGTGGCGACAATGCCTTGCAGCACTCACATTACAAATACTAACATTAAATGGGTGAAATACAGAAATCATCTCATAACATTCTAATCTTGAGAAAATAGCATCATCTCTATGAATTATTCAGTAGTTGGCTGAGATCACATAGAATTTTGAAGACATCAGAACAGAATTTTATCTTCATAAGTAATTTTTTCCTACAGCTGAACAACCACAGGTAAATTGAAGGATAGACTTTTCCTTTTCCTTTGTTTCACCAATCATATTTTGCATATAGTATTTCTCTAAATGTTTAAGAACAAAGGTAACCTTCACATACAGTTGTATCATGAGAAGTCTCTGTGAAGTAAATACAGAATTAATGTTCCCTGTCTCCAACTACTGAAACTTCATTCCCTCATGTGCACTGTGTATTTCCTTTAGTCATCCTTTTTCCCCCTTTATTTCTTTGGGAGTCAGGATGTTGACAGCAAGTTGAGTTGGAGTTGCTGACTTCTTTTATTTTAACAGTGAACTCCTTAAAATAAAGGCCACCTAGTAGAAGCAGATACAGTCTATCAATTCTGCTCTCTTCTTCCTGCCAAAGTCTGGTGCCCAGCCGCGAAAAATTTCATGTTTAGATGGTTTATTAAGCAGAACAAAGACACCCAGAAAGAAGAAAGCCAATGTTCTCTGTCTGACACAAGCATCAGGGTTAACAGGAACCACTTGCTAGACCTTCATAACTGTGCCTGGTAGATGCTTGCTGTGGGAGAGCAGTGTGAGACTGATCTGAGTCGTAGCTTAATCTTTTAGAAGTGAGCAGCCTCAAGTGCCTCTTCCAGGCAATCAAGGACCACAAAGGAAGACACTTGACTTCCTCTCGGACTACCCTTTCTAACCTACATATCATAATTTCACAGAAACAACAAAGCCCTCCCAAACATTCACCAGAGACCCATCAGAGCTGGAAGGAAGCAGGTACCTTCTGGTTAACTTTGGTGGCGGCCACAGTCAGGTTGTGCAGATCCTGGGGATTACAATCAGTTTCATTCATGCAGCAACTGGGGGGAATGCCATGCTCCAGGAAGTAGGGGCTGGTGCTCCAGTTGGTGTAGTTCTGCACACCACAGCAGCTGAGCTATTAACAGCAAAACAGAAAGAATCAAAGAGTGACAGATCAAAAACATTGTGCTCTCCTCTCTCACTGCCCTGTTACTTTTAAGAGAGACAAGCTTAGGCCAAGCTCCTCAGACAACATGTGCAGCTTCAGTGAGTAAAGGTGAGCTACAACCCCACTACCAGCTATCCTCACTGGGGTGCCCATTTGAATTCAGAGAAGGAAGTGAGTCGAGATCATATAGCCCTTGGCTTTCTTGCCACTTTCACAGAGGAAGCAGTGCTTCTCTGCCCTGGCAAAGTGTGACAATCACCTGTGGGAGTCCGGTGCTGTTAACGATATACAGGTACACAGTAACTACATCAGGATGCTTGATGGGGAAGCTGATGCAATAATGGTTTTTAAAAGCTCTCTGCTGGATCTACATTAATAAGTAAGGAGATGGTTTAGAGAAAGAAGATGCACATGGAAGGAGAGCTGGTGTTGGTAAACTAAAACCCACACCTGTTTCTTTTTGTAAATAAAACTGTATTGAGTGACAGTCATGCGTATTGTCTATGCTGCTTTTGTGCTACGGTGGCAGAGTTGAAGAGCTGTGACAGAGACTGCCAGGCCCTCCTAAGCTAAAATATTTACTATTGAACCTTTTACTGAAAAGGTTTGGCCTGCAGAGACTACTGAAGTAAGTAGGATGAAGATATATCAAATTGCTGAATCTTGCTCAATGGTATACTGTTCCTTGTAGTGATCTTTGAACTTTCCTATATGAGTTTGAAATTTTTTCAAAATATTCAAAAAAATACCACTTCAGAAATATATATTTTTAAAAACCTTTAAAAACAAGAATAGCAAAACCAAAAACCTTCCCAGGATCTTGATAGGCAGTCAGGTTTCAGGGCTAACATATATTATTATCCTAAGCACCTACAGGAGAGAAACCTCTTCTTTACTTGTCTGTTACCCTCTGCAAAGCACCAGGGCCTGTGGCCACTTGTACACCCGACAGATCCTCAGTTTCTTCTGGTTCTGCACTCTACTACCTACAATACCCTACGCCCAGACAGTGAATGCAGCTCACCCAAGCTCTACGCCTATCCCGAAGAATTGATTCCAGAGAGCCAGACTTGGGAAGCCAACTCTAAGCTAGACTGTCAAATGCTCCCTGCCTGGCCCCTTTCAGACTTTAAGGGCAGAGGAGCTGTCCTTGGAATGCTCACAAGCCTTTCTGATGCAAGACATCCTCAAGGGAATGGTCATTCTCAACACAAATTTGCTGGAGAACTGGATCCTGGACAAGTGCTGGGAATCAACTCTTGAAAACAGACTGGACCAAAAGTTGGAGAACAAGAACCAACCACAAATGCCGCTGGCTCAATTTGTTGGCTGCCTACAAGTCTAAGCCCAGATCTTGCTTCCTTATCTCCTGCCTTGAACTTACGCTGCGCTGCACGTGGTCCACAGCCCGGCTCCTCTCATCATTGCCGTTGTAGTTCTGCATGGCATCCGTGTAAGTCCTCAGGAAGGTGTCCTTAATCTACAGAAAATGGGGGAGGAGGGTTGGGTGGTTTCAGTCCATTGTAGCCCAAACTGACTCAGATTCATACCAAACTTCTACCCCAGAATAGCCTCTTCTAAAAGCCTCTGGATAACTATAGGTCAGAGGGAATGCTCTGTATTCTGAGACAAAAGAATTCAAAAATTTAATAAGAGGAATTTAAAAAACTTCTCCCCTCACTCTTAATCCTGGCCTGTTAAATGACTCCCTGAAGTGGCTCGTCAGTTTCTGAAAGGGGTGTGATGGTGAACTGCCAAATTACAGGCATATATTATCCAGTTATTTTTTTGAAGGGAATATACTCATCTATCTTTTTGGAACTTTCTTTTCCCTTATGGAGAAGACAGGATAAGGAACAGGCCATTGGGGTGATAAGAATATTGATGTTATGCCCCAAAACTGATCCCTATTCTACCATAAAGCAGTGGGGTAAAACCCAGTTTCACTTACTTGTCTTTACTGAGGTCAAAATAAAGGAAGCTAAAACACAAATACTTTTCTTGTTATTAAAAGGTTAATAAACCCATTTCTTCTTCTCTATGAACACGTTTGACCTTGGGGTAGCTTTCAAGCTCTGTTCCCCTGGAAACCTGACAAAGATGGTGTGTTAATAGGCAAGCTGGCTTATAGTACAGTTGAACCCTTATGAGTGAAATGCTTCTGGATTGGGAGGATAGCAAATGACAGTAATTACCTGGGGGGAAGCTTAGGGCTAAGTGTGGTGACCTTCTTAACTAGGCATATTCCTTGCTGAAATACTGGAAGCTATATCCATGAGACAGCTACAGGAGATAAACAGACACTACAGGGAGCTTCTAAGCCAAGATGGCTACTACAGTCAGCTGTGTTGTCTCACTTCACTGCTATTACATTTATCTCTCAGTTTGGGGAGCTATCCATGCAACAGATCTTGGACACTCTGAGGACTCATCCTGAAGAAACAAGCTTGCTGCTGCCCTACACATGTGCGGGTCTTCCTTTACTGCATCCCTCTGAATAAACAGTTCTAATTGTGACCTATTATTACTATGTGAGCTTGACTGTTTAGCTAAACTCAAGACCATAACTGGCCATCAGAGAGTGGCATTGCAACTCCTTCCCACTGTACCCCAAAGTGTTTCACATGAAGAAGTTAGGGAGATGTGGACTTCTTGAACCCTGGGGAACAGTAGCCATTTTCACCTTCAAGCTGGGCTTGCTGGCTTCCACAATTCTGGAAGGTTGAGGCAAGAGAATCACAAGTTTAAGCTCAGCCTACGCAACTTACAGAGACACTGTCTCAAAATCTTTAAAAAGGGCCAGGGATGTAGCTCAGTGCAAAGGCCTCAGGTTCAAGCCAAATAAATAAATAAATAAATAAGAAAACTTCAATATCAGAGCAGCACCCAACATGGAAGTGGGCAAAGGTTCAAGTGGGAGTGAGTCAGATTGCTCCTAGTGTTCACACTCCTCACTCCTAATCCTGGTCTGTTAAATGACTCCCTGAAGTGGCTAATCAGTTTCTTTGAAAGTGGCAGGTCAGTTTCCTGCTCTTGGTACGCCTGTTAGGGCTGTGGAGGTCATAACTTCATTGAGTTTCACACTACCTAAGAATAACAATGAGGGTTCTACAGTTTGGATATGAATTGTCCTCAAAGGTCTATTGTGTTGAGAGCTTGTTTTCCAGCTGATGGTGCTATGGGAGGAAGTGAAATTTTAGGAGGTGGGGATCACTGTGTTTGGAAGTCAAATGACTGGGGCCCATCATAGTCCTCTCTTTGCTTTCTGGCCAACAAGAAGTATGCAGCTTCCTCTACCATATGCTTGCACCAAGATGTACCGTGCTGCCATAGGCCTAATGCAACAGGGTCAAGCAACCATGGACCGAAACCTCTGACACCATGAGCCAAAATAAACTCTTTCCTCCTTCAAGTTGTTTATCTTAGGTAGTTTGTCATAGCAATACAGAGTTGACTAACACAGAAGTTCTACTTATAGACACAGTACTAATATGAAATGAGTTCTGGAAGTCAGCTTGGGCATCTAGGAAGCCACCTCCAATAAAGGGGAAAATCAGCATAAGAGAAAAAGGAGCAGAACACACATTGGTAAGCTCCTGGCAAAGTTAACTCAGCCAAGCACAACAGCGTGGCCTGGGAAGGGAAGAGCCACAGTGACATTCTACCACACTGTGTTCTCAACCTATATTTTGTTATATTTTCCCCTTCTTATATATGCTTATCTGCTTCTGTCTTTACTGCCATGTATGATGTACAATAATGGATTTATGAGACAGCAAGACAGTTTGGTATAGTCTCAGAAATCTTGCTACAAAGAAACTGATATACCTTGATAAAGGATCTATTTTAAAGAAGTATTTAATCCATATTACAGGTCACTGCTTTAAAATGCACTGTAGAATCATTTTATGTAATAGCTACATACAGACAGAGAGTGAGGTTCAACAATGAATGCTTTGAATTTGGTGAAATTCCTGCATTTAGAATTTCATTGGACTTCCAGGCCACATTACACATTTGGAAGATGATACCACCACAGGGGAAACCATCTAGCCTCCATTCACCCTGTACACAGTACAAGTACTTTCAAAAATGCTCCTCCAGAGACCCTTTACCTGAGCTCTCTACCTTGGATATACTCACCTCATGGCGGAACACAAACCCTGAAATGCCAGCTACAAGCTCAGCCAGGAACACCAGGGACAGGAACATGGCATACTGAAAAGCAAGTCAGATGTCAGAATTAAGAAGAGACCTTTTTTAAAGGTGAGCTACTTCTTGCCAGAAGGAATTAGACAAGTTCTCATGCTCCTTAGACAAAGTTTAGAAAAAGTTTTAAAGGGCTCTTCTCCAGATTTACCCAGATAAGCCTCAGAAGAGGACTGAGTCTGTTTAATCTGTGTTAGCATTTGGGGGTACACATGTTGAGGAAGGGTCATCAGCAACAAGCAATGTGCCTGTCAGCTCAGTTCAACCAAGAGAAACATGGGATGGCCATTTACAACAAGGGTGTATATCTAACAGCACAATCTTTGAGCTAGGAAAAGCAAAAACTGATCTAGAGGTCACAGAACACAGTTCTATCTTATCAGAGAGTCTTTCCACCTTCTTCATGATGGACCATCTACATCTGTGAGTCCTACCCCCACAGCTTGTTTTGCCTCATTTCCATGGGCCTCAGGTCTGCCTGTTTCTAATTTCCACTTGTTAGTGTTGGTTCGGCCTATAACAGATATAAGAACGCAATCTCTCTACTACACAAGTCCTTCACATGTGTGCATGCAGCCAAGATGGTAACCTGCTGGTTCTCTGTATTCAGGCAAAATCCCCCACTTTACTTGACCGCTTCTCATATGAAATGGCTACGAAACCACCTCACTTGGAAACACACTCCCCCCACCTCGACCCAAAGACCAGACTGTGCATAGGAGGCAGCAGCTCTTCGATATGCTGGTCAGCCCTGAATACAGTATCCTCAGCAGCTTCTTGTGGGGCTATTCACTTCTCTACACTGGACAGTGCATGGAATTTGTAGCCTTTCAAAAATCAAATACTGTATGCTATACTGCTAACAAAACTTACAGGCATCTAAAGCCTTTAGTGCTTTGCATCTACTGCTGCCTGTATTTCCCAAGGTGACTGTGTATGTGTGTGTGCATGCACAAGTTCAGGGATATCACATGGTACTGAGGAGGTATCGAGGGTTTCCATTTCTGTGACTTTGAAAAGTACATAAAAGGAAGGAGAATTCATTCCTTACCAACAAGGCATACATCTTACAATCTGCTTATTCTCATCTCAAAATGAGATACAACAGTTCTGAATACTTACAATGGCTTTAAACAATGCTATGGAATTTGGATGGACTGCACATGGTCACCACATTACTTATCTGTAAAGTATACATATGTGCACAGAATCATAAATTATTTTTCTTCACTATTGGCATATATATGAAAAGAAGGAAATATCATCTTAAAATATCAATTTCTTTCTAAATATTAACAAAATTCTCTACAAACAGCACAGTCACTAAAATATGAAACATGCAGTCATGATGTACTGTGTATACAAATTCTCTGTCGCTCAACTTCATACAAAATGTAATTAGAAACATACATTACTTTGAGGAGAATTTTACATCTGGCTTAGAATCCAACAGAAAGTTGGAAAGTGGGAAGGTCACTGTCAGGAGGCAGGTAGGAGAAAGGATATTTTTCTCCGTGTTCAGAAGACCTCCTAGGACTAACTCTTTTTCACATTTTTTTTTCAGTACCAGGAACTGAACTCAGGACCTTACGTTTGCCAGGCGGGCACAGTGCCACTGAGCTACATCCCCAGCCCTTCCTAGGACTAACTCTTAAGCAAGAGGCAGCCTCTTAGGACCTCCATAAAGCAAAAGTAGTTATTGTCAGTGGTTTTGCAATTGCTGAGGTTAAATGATGACCATAAGATTCTAGACTGACAATCAAGTGACTTCTGTCTCACCAACCGGATCAGAAGTTTTCTGTGTCTAACAGGTCCTTTGCCTCCAGGAACTTCCAGAGAATAGCTACTTTATCTACAGAAGGCCGTGGCCAAAACTCTTCTATTTGGAAGAGTTTGTACTGCATATAGGTGGTAGGGCTTAGAGTTTCTTTTCCAAATGAAAACACAGGGGTAGAAACAGTTCAAAATTTGGAAAGAGACATACATGGGTTCAAATCCCAGCCATCCACACATTAGCTGTGAACTTGGGCAGCTTATGTAACCTCCTTCTGTTATGTAATATGAAAATACAACCTATGCTTCATAGTGATGATGAGGAACTAAAGTAATATGCACAAAGAGCACGTGGCACATGACAGGAAATAGATTTTATTTTCAAAGACCAAAATCCAAAAAAAACTTCTCTAGTCTGCAAAAGGCTCACCTGCCAGTGAACTCTTAATTGTTAGAAGAAACAGCAGCGTAGTATGAAATCTTCTCCAGAATAAGCCAGAGATAACAGTTCCATCACTTTCATACACGCCATTTATAAAGTTATACTCAGATACAGGGAAGTTCTTCCTCAAACGCAAATGTAGTTAGAACATGAAAATGCCCCTTTCAGTTATAGTATTTGGACTGGAAGAAACCTTGGTGGTTTGCTCCAATATGATTCTTTCATAACTGGGGACAAAGGTCTGGAAAGGCTACATTCTTGCCACTAAAGACATAAGCCTGTTAGTACTGAAGCAGTGAGGTCTGATCATCAGGTTTCCTCTCTTGTTTGGAAAGATGGTTTTCTAGCAGTCTTTCCTTTCTATGCCTTTAAAGATAATTCTCTTTTTTATCAAACAAAATTCTTAACTAGGTATAAAATAGAATTGCCTGAAGGACTCTTACCAGCAGAGATCCTATTTCAGGTGGCTGGAAGAAGGACCTGGCAAAGATGTTTTCAAAAAGTTGCCCAGGTGATTTAAACATCCATTCAGAGTTGAGGACCACCATGCTAGGTAGGCCAAAAGTAACTCTAGTGCTCATGAGAAACACTAGAAAATAGATCCAGTGTGCTAGGAAAAAATGTCAGGGGACAGCATCAGAATTGTCTCAATATGCCTCATAATGATTTTCCACAAACCTGGAAGAACTGGTGGAGGCCAAAAAATTAGTTTCCTGCATGGTCTGTACAAAAGAAGGCAGCCAAGTCATGTACCACACTGATGAGGGTGACAACAAAGACACTGCCTGGCTAACACTTTGGGACTTCTGTGCCTTTGGAGTGAATTACTTTCGTGTGCAAAAGTGTCAACAGGTGGCATTACATGTTATTACAACTTAGGACTCAACATGGACAGGCAACAAAGCCCCATTGGAATCTCTGTTTCTCCCTTTCTAAAATAACCCATTTTTTAAATAAAGTTTTCCTTTGAGGAGAGAGGTCCTTAGTAATTTTTATCCATAAAATCTTTCAACATTAATCTTCATCAATGGAGAGCACAGTAAAAAGGAAATTAAGTAACTCGTCTAACAAAAAGTCAAAAATCATGCTAATGGCCTTTTAATCATCTACCCTCACCCTTTGACACGTATCATTGCTTTGTCTGTCCTACCAGAGGACAGGCATCTAACAATAGTCCTGGTAGCTAATACATGGCCGTGCATCAGCCCTCTGAGTAGGGTCTTCTGGCTTAGCTCAGCTCCCACAGCACTGAGACAGGGTACATGGGTTTTATGAAGAACATGCAAATGTGTCCATGCATGGCCGGGCTCAAGAGGCAGGAAGAATTTCTCCAAGGGAACTTAGAGATGAAAGACTAAAGCTGCATGTCACATGTTTGAGCACATCGCCAAGCTAGAGTTCAAAACTGGGTCAGGGCAACTTGCCAGGAGGACATCAATGGTCTATTAGAACCTCCGGCCAGTGCTTTGTCATCATTTACCTCAAGAAATTGAGACTCGATTTATTCTGCCAGGCCATCACAGGGGCTGCTTACCCGACTGGGTGGATTATTGGGTTAGCTAGATAACAATCTGGGCTAAAATTAGAATCAATGAATATTAAGGTCTTGTTTGTGGCTTCAAGAAGGGCTATTTCATCACATTGTGATTTAGACTTTTACAAAAAAATGACAGAGAAGGCAGTATTATGCACTATGCATTATTATGCAATGACCTACTCACCAGTTTCAGCATCCATGGGCTCCCACGGCATGTAGCAAAGCATCCAAATAAGCCAAAAACGACAATAGTGGTGCCAGTTCCAATAAGCACGTAGGGAGCATTGGTGGAGTTCTCAGCAATGAGGGAGATATAGGTGCCCAGAGTAAGTTTTCCCCAGACTCCAACAGCCAACAGGATCACTCCAGTGATCTATAAAGGGAAAGAGAGAGTATGAAGCCACTGGTGAGACATAAGAACCAACACAGAGAAATGTGACCAAATGGGAAGAATCAAATTTCCATGAGCAAGGTGGTACCTACTAGAGGATTCCCTGAGCAGTGGGAAACGTTGGAGATCATTAACTAAAGCCATCACACAATAAAGACACTTTGATTTTGTACAATTAGATGTATCCCTTACACAATCCCATATGCAACTGTGTTTAACTGCAAGTCAAGCCAACAATAAGGAACATAAAAACTGCTTTAAAAATGCATAGTAAGACAGATATGAGAGCCTTGCCCTATCTGCCTTCTGACACTAAGTTGGGTACAACTCCAGGAATGATGGTGGCCACCCTCTTTGAAGGCAAGTGTATATAATTTTGGACTTTCTATATGATGTTTTAAGAGCAAGGTGATTCTCTGTGACCACTAGCACCAAAATCTCTATAAAAGTAAAGTATTCCAAATATTTTTGAATCCTTATTGATGTGCTGTTTTATTTGCAATACTCTATTTAATATAAAACAACAGAAGAATCTCAGTAGTTCCTGGAATTAGCTGTAATGCAATTTGTCCAAGCCCACTGATCAGTCCAAAGAAAATCCATACAGCATATCTAACCTGTAGAACCTGGCTTCAGTCAGGTCCTTACTTCAGAGGACAGACTCAGGGCTTCACGCTATGCCTTAGTCTTCATTCCCTGCAGGCCACAGGCTTCAGTAACTTTGGCTGCTAAAGTCACAGATTGCTTTGTGTCCCTAACCATTCCACCAGCTGAAGGATATATCCTTCAGTTCACCAACTGCTTGGGAACATTCAAATTGACAGTCTTCTAAGGCATCATTGTATGGTGCTTGAAAGAAACTTATGTTTTGGAGGAAGTCCGTCCCCAGTTTTGCCCCATCCAATAGCCCAACATTCGATACCAAGGGCCACAGATCCTACCTAGACCACTCAAGTGAGCATGACCTTGCCAAGGTTTCCTCTGTCAATCAACATGCTGTTCTTTAAAACACCATCAAATACATGCTGCACTATGAACCAAATGGCCTGGCCAGTTGAAAATGCCTTGGCCTCTCTCCTTTATACTCTGAAAATAGTTTCTGTAGTTTGGAACCATCAAACCCCACTATTAACTTGTTGCTCTGTTCAGGAAGACTGGGATGTGTACCTTTTCCCACATCAGGTAAGCATGAATTCTACCTACCTGGGTGCAAAAGTCAGCAAAAAAACAACAAAGGCCACCCCCCTCCCATAGTCTCTGTCTTACAGAACTGTCGTCACTGTGAATAACAAAATTAAATTTAAATTAGAAAAGTTTTGAGGAACTGTTCTACTTTTATTAGACAAAAGTAAACAATTGTGATACAGTCTTAGGGAGAAAGTGTTTGACACTAACATTTGGGAGAAAATAGCTCAGCAGAGAGTGCTGCCAAAAGGGATAGCCTAGGGTATTGAAGAAAACCAGAACAGATGTTACCAAGAATTTCAAGTCCTCTGCTGACACCTGGTGGCTACTAAGAAAAAAGTACTTTGAGCAGCCTCTTCTGCCATACTCCTCCGGACGGAAGCATAAGATGCTTTTTACCCACTAGAATTAAAATGCAAGAATCAATTCTGAAATCACTCAAGGTAAGAATACAATGAAGGCTATGTAGAAAAGGACAGAGTTATCTCTTATCACTTAGTGCTTAGCACAGTTCAGTAAATGCTCACTATTCTTGGATTTAAAAAACACATTTCCTCTCCCTGGGTCTTAGTGCTTATATTTTATAAAACAGAGCCTATCGAATGCCAAATACTTATAAAACATCTACACCAGATAATTACTGTGACGTCATTTAAGATGAACACAAAAAGAAACTTTACCTGCACTTTCCAATCGAGAATTTTAAGTATAGATCTGTGACTATCACAATGTGAATGTTTTGAAAAAAATTCATTTAAGCAAGTTTAGGGTAAATACGGGCCTCATCTAGAGACTTCTGACTTCACAGGATTGCTCCCAAAGATTCAGTATCACTGCAGAATGTACAGAGTATACTACATGCTACCATTGTCAGTTACTGTTAGAATTGCTTTCATGAAAATGCATACTACTGATCAATTACAAGAGTCGGATACTCTCTTAACATTTCTGACTCGTGATTTCATGAAATGCGGCTAATACCATAACAAATCTTATATGCCATGGGTCAAAGTTAACACAAATTCTGATGTTTAAGTTTAACAGTATTATGGAGATTTTCTCCTTTCAAAAAATAATTTATTCCAAAGTAACCTTTGCTCTTTATGTGAGGCAATATATAAAGCTGGTCGTCATGTAAAGTACAAAGGCTACAATACTATTTTTTTTAATCATATAATATAAATCACATTTATTATATTATTGGGAAAAGATTTTTTGTGGATTTCAGTGGTGCCTTTTAATGTTTACTAGTAAATGCAAACAAGCACAATACTGTAGCCATCATGTTGCACAGGAGAAAAAGCTTAATATTCTGGTAAGGCAGTCAGCCTTAAAAAGACTCGTTCTCTCAATAATGTGGGGGCTGAGTTACATAGGCTCCTTTCAACACCAGTGTGGCTAGGAATCTAAGAATAAGCCTCATAGAAAAAGCCTTTTCTAATGCTGCTACTGTCACAAACACTCCTGAAAGAGAAGCTCTGTGTTTGGAAGCCCCAACTCCACATAGATACACCCATGTCCCTTTTCTACACATTACACCTAGCCTTTTCAGCTGTGTCTCCCTTGCTGCCCTTCATGTATCCCATAGAATTCCAGGAAAATTGAGCTGTTCTCTGTGCAGTTTCCAGGATTCGATCATAATGATGTAACTTAGAATTCCTATTGTTCCTATCACTTCTTGTCTACAACCTACTCTTAGTACATAGTATACCTACTCCTCCCAGCCTCAAACGTACTCTGCACCATGCCATCGTCCTGCTGTGACCCATGCCCCTCCCATGAACATCCAGGACCATGTCTTTGAAGGCAGAAACTGTGTACTTTGAGCAAAGTCGATGTCCAGTACACGTCTGCTGAATGAATAAAGAGGCAACAGTGGAGTTAAAGAAGAGAAAGAAGTTTTGTGTTAGGCTTTCATCTATTATACCCTCTGAATGTCTCTGACGAGCTCTCGAAATTGGTAAGAATGCCAATCTACCTCATTTAGCAGGCCAGTGATTTGGGGAAATAACAGTGCTAAGGACAAAGAAGAAAAGATTCAATAGACAAGAGAGAAAATGGTTGGGCTGCAGTGTGCCCTTAGGTGAGTGGGGCCATATTTGGTGGTGATAATGATGGTGGACTTGGGTGGATGTTATAAGAAATTTCTAGGTAGTTGAGAGCAATAAACTAAAGGCTAAAGATCCATAAAAATATGATAAAGAAGCACTTTCTTACATTTTTCCTAGTACAAAAATGTTTCTTACCAAGGATAAGAAGTATAAAAGGACAAATGTCATTGTCATCTGTATAATTTTTTCTTGGTTCCTATCAGTAATACTCAAATATACATGCCCCTTTTGCAAATACTGATAGGAGAGCCATTTCTCAAACATTTGCGAGTTCAGAGTAAAAGGGCACAGACAGGTTCCTTTGACATCTATCTTCTAAAACAATTTTGTATATGAGCTCCTTAGAGACCTCAAATTCCTAAACTAATCATCATCCTAGGTTACCTTTTTCTCCTGGCAGTTTTGTTTCCTTCCCAGAAGGATGGATTAACAAACAGCCAAGGCTGTGGTTTGAGAAAGAGTCAGATCAGAGGTCAGCAATAAACCACAGAAGTAGTCTGGTAAAGGACTACCACTACCTCACATGCTCCCAAATCACCACAAACCAGGAGGGCAGGGCCAGCACTCCAGTAGCAACCACTAGGCTGAGGCTCTCCATCTCTTCCTTGCTCCCAAATGTCATTTCCTGTGTGTTTACACCACAGCTCAAAAAGTATAGTTAGCAGAGTACCACCAGCTACTACTAATTTAGGCTTGGTGACGAAGCTGAGTAAAACCATAATTGTCGCATTAGAAAAGTTAGAACTAGAAAAGCTATTGTGTAATATTACATATGACCAAATTATACCAAAAGAAAACCATGGAGAGGTTTGGCCATATGTCAAGGGCTTTCCAAAAGGCTCTGGAAGAGACTTACCAGGGTTCATTTTAATCCTAATGTGGGTATTTGAAGACGAGACAGAAGTCAGAAATGATTCCCCTTATTCCTACTAGGTCCTCTTGGCTAATGCTGCCAACCTTGTAGTATCTTGATCCTCAAAGTGATGCCAGGGCTAGCGGGCTAAACAAGTCAAAGACATGTGACTTTCTCTCACCCCTTTTTCACATACAGAGCACAGATGCTCTCATTAAACTACTTCAGCTGCACTCCTGCTGACCAAGGTTGGATCTGATGGGGAAAAATCCATACTTCCTTTCTCAAAATCCATACCTGATTTGTGAGCCCCATGTTCTAAATGAACATGTGTGTTGTTTTAATGATGACACGAGTTCTTATTTTTGGTATCATTCAAAAAAAGAAAAATGTCACCAGCAAGAGAAAATTAAATTATAGAGGCATAAGCTACCTGGAAAGACACCTTTCTAAGAAGCTGTTTGGGAAATAAATCACTGCATCTTAAAAAAAAAAAGAAAGAAACACAGAAGAGACAGTAGGCAGAAATCAGCTAAATTGCATTTGGGGTGAAATCCACAATTCAATCATCCCAGAGGTTCACAGGGCAATTCATTCTGAGACTACACACAGAGGAATTGTGAAACATTCTTCTCCTACTCCAGATGAGTCCACAGCTCAGAGAAAAATGCATGACACAGAAACTTCACACAAATCATCAATCAATAGAATACCGATCTCTCAGATGTCAGATTTTAAGAAGAAAAGTAGCCAGCAAACTATTCTTTTAGCTAATTCTTAGGTGGGTATGTATCTGAGGGGACCATAAGGAAGGGTTGAATCTTTGCACTGTA